ATGAAAGCCACGCCTTCCTTTATTTACACACACACACACACACACACACACACACACACACACACACACACACACACAGAGTTCGCTTGTTAATTTTCACCTGAGGATATTTTTCCATTGCTTTTTAGAGAGAGTGGAAGGGATGGAGAGGGAGAGAGAGAGAGAGAGAAACATCAGTGTGAAGAGACACATCGCTTGGTGGCTTCCCACTCTCGCCCCCGACCAGCTGCGGATCAAACCTGCAACCTTAGGTATGTGCCCTTGACCCAGAATAGAACCCGAGACCCTTTGGTGCACAGGCCGAGGCTCTAACCACTGGGCAACACCAGCCAGGGTTCAACCAATATGTATGTATTTTTAAATATGTCTTTATTGATTTCAGAGAGAAGAAGGGAAAGGGAGAGAGATAGAAACTATGATGAGAGAGAGTCATTGATCCACTGCCTCCTGCACACCCCCTGCTGGGGATCGAGCCTGCAACCTGGGCATGTGCCCTGACCAGGAATCGAACCAAGATCTCCTGGATCCTAGGTCAATTGCTCAACCACTGAGCCATGCCAGCCAGGCTCAACCAATATTTTTAAAGCACCTATTGCATGTCACGCATGTGCTGAGCCCTGACGATACAGCAGTGACTGAAAGGAAAATACCTGCCCTCGTGGCGCTGACATCCTACTGGGGGAGGTACAGTTAGCACAATAAGTAGTAAAATACAGAGGCTGGATGGTGGTTTAAGTGTTCGGAAGGGAGCCAGGGGCTGCGGGACAGGCCGTGGCATACACTGGCACAGGGGCTCCGGTTCCTGGGCAGTCGGGGGGTCAGCTCCGGGACCCTCCCTGGGGGGGGTGAGGTGTGAGGTGTGGCATCTCCAGCAGCAGGGCCCAGCTCCTGCGCGAGCTAACACAGCTAAGCAACTTTCAGGCTTCCAGCTTCCCGATGCCTCACGAGACACCCCGAAGTCGGCAGGCCTGGCCGAGTCTGACCTGTTTTACAGACTGGGGAACCGATAGCAGCGGAAGGGGGCGGCATGCCGGTGGCAATGCGGCTGATGGCAGGAGTCGAGGGTAATGGCCAGAACTTGAGTCCTGGATATCTTAGTCCAGGACCATTTCTGCCAGACCAATGGACTTACCGCCAAGTCTGCAAATTTGTACCTCCCCCGGCACTGTGTTACCGAAGGCTGAACAAGCCGCTTGTGTTGCCCAACTGGCAGGCTGGTGTGTGTCTGGGAGTGGGGAGTTTGGTTTATTTTATTCCTAATGTCAGCCTCAGGAGGTTATGACACGCTCCCGACTTGTCTGGGGTGAATCGGCCGTGCTCATTCTTTGGTGATAGAACAGACCGAAGGGCATGGTTCTTCTAACCCCTGGCTTCCCCGGGAGGCAATACCTCCTCCAGGAAATGGAGAAGGTTGGAAATGCAGGTCCAAGGCACACAGTGTGGCCTCTGCCAGAGTCTCCTAAGGAGGTGGCGAGACTCAAGTCTTTCCACTCCAGGCTCCCTCTGCCTTTCCTGAGTGCGAATTACGCACCGTCAAACAGGCCTTGGGTTTTGGGCCTGGATAACAGGCAATAGAAAAGGATTTCTGGACAGTTAAGCCCCAAGAGGCGTTCACTGGAAAGTTCCTCCGACAGCGAGTGGACGAGCTGAGTCCAGCTTCAGGAGGCGCAGGAGGCCATGGCACCGGGGCCTGGACTCAGCTCAGACATCGGTTGTTTCTGGAGAGGATGGGATCGCTCTCCTGCTGGTGGCTCTTGGCCATTGGAGGGCCCAGGGTCTCCCCTTCCACAGAGGCTTCCTGCACGCTAGTCTGTCGGCCTGCAACACCCTTCCCCTTGCCCTTCTCAGTCTTCAGGCATCAGCTTCGCCGTCACCTCCTCACGGAGGCCTTCTCGGACTACCTGGTCTAAGCAGGTCTCCGCGTTTCTTCTGTCACTGCAGCCGTCTCTTTCCCAGCTCTCAGCACCTTGTAACTGGATGTTTGCTCTCTGTTGCACTAGCCTGTGCTTTTGTCTGAACACAATGCCACTAGTCACATGGCTACTGAGCACTGGAAACTTGAGATTTGCAGTTAAATGTACAACATATACTGGATTTTGAAAACTTAGTATGTAGTGTAAAATAGCTCATTCATAATTTTTATATTGATGTTTTGGGTATGATGAGTAAAATAAGTCATGTTAAAATTAAGTTCACCAGTTCTTTTTAAATACTAGAAAATTTAAAATTCCGTATGTGGCTTGTATCGGATTTCTGTTGGACGGTGGTGCCCAGATTAATTCTACAAGGACAGGACCATAGAGACTGCTCATCACTCTATACCCAGCACTTGGTCCTGGGGCCAGGACACAGTAGGTGAGCAATAGTGTAACTTACTGAATAAGTTTGACAGTTATATTTTCCATCAGTTCAGATATATTTTGCACAGTCTGCTAAGAGAATGTGATCTAATTTAAAAGTCAGTTTATTAAAAACAATTCAGGCATAACATTTGTAAGAAACAGAAACAAAGGGAGAGTGCAGGGGTCAGGGTCTCCTCAGCCTCTTCTGAAGAGGAAGGTTTCTTGGTCCTACCCACCCAGCAACATTCAAGTTCCGAGCGCTTTGGGGGATATTCTGACCTTTGTTAAAAAACAAAATCCTGATACACCAGAGGCCAAGACACAGTTTCCCACTTCCTGTTCCTCCCTTTTTCTGAGCAGAGGTGGGGCAGGAGTTTATCTAGGGAAGCCTGACCTCCAAGGCCACAAAAGACAGCTCTATCTGGATGAATTAAAAAGGGTCAGAGGATTGGATTTTAGTTGTGAATTCCCAGACTGTATTTTTTTAGTAAAAATAGTGATAGTAATTGCAAACATACTGAATGAGTGCATCTAAGACTTTATATGCACAATCACGCTGAAACTTCACAATGACTGAGTTAGGTACCCCTCAAGAGCATTCCTGTCTTATAAATGAATGAGGCAGAGAGGTTAAGTTATAGGTCACCAGATAGAAAGGAGAAATTGGGATTTGAGTTCTAATAGTCTGATTATGGAACCCAAGCTTTTAACCACAAGATGACTGCGGCCAGATGGGTAAGTTCCATGTATACAGGGACATTCTCTAAGGGCCCAGCACACTGCTGGGTACAGAGCAGAAGCTTAACAAATATTCAGACTTAAATATCCACTCGCTAACACTGCAAGTATGTTGGGGTTGCGGCGAGGATGGTAGCAGGCTTTCTCAGTGACTGCAGGCTGTGTCCTCTGCTCAGGAGACAGCCTCTAGCATACAAGCCCAACGGGAAGAGACCAAATTGGGGTCCTGAAGGGCCCTGAAGGGATGATTGGAAGCTGGGGGTGGGAGGGCTGGGCTGCTCTGGCTCAGAGGGACCTTAGTGAGGCCTGATGTGCTGAGCCTGCCCACGTGAACAGGCCCTAGATTATGCTGGGTACATTTTTTGCCAAGTTGAATGCAGAACCTCTTTTCTCCACCCCCTTTTGCTGAACTATTTTAAGATGCATTTGTACCTAACTTACCTGTCTTGCTGTATTTCTAGTACCTAGCACAGTACCTTGGACATAGTAGGCCCTTATTTGTTGAATGAACAGTTAAGCTGGGAACCTGATCCTGGCCAGATGGCACTTCTAGTACAGATGTAGGGGGCACTGCACTGCACTGCCTCCACTGGGTGTGAATTAGCTCCACCACAGGGGTGGGGCTGGCGCTTACCTTTGACAGTGGGCTTACTGCAGGGAACATTAGTTATTTTAGTTAATCTCTTCCCATCCACCT